TATGTGTAAATTGTTAATTGTTCTGTATTATATGAGTACAAACCATTAATATAATAGTTTGTTCTTGACAAGAATTAGGATTTTTCGCTGCGTTATTTATCTATTTAATAGATTCACATGTGATAGAGTTATCAGTTTGTTTTTTTAAACATTTACTATGATATCATGTATTTAAGATATATTTTTTGTTTTCTTTTCTGTTTATAGCTAGATAAAAATGAATATAACAGATATTTTTATTTATTTAATCTTCCAGCGTTTATTTCTAGATACCATAAATAAAATAATGTAAAATTCGAGTATTTCTTTTACAGTCAAAATTTCTTATGACTATAGATATAGAAAAAAACTAAAGGTAATCAAAAACTTGCTTTAACTACCGGACGAATTTTAGGGATAATCTTTAAGTGACTAATCAATAAGAGTGTTAGTTTCATTGTGTAATCGGTACAAATCGATATTTTATTATTCTCAGTTTTAATGTAACATATGTGATGGTTTATGATAATCATTGATGTTATATTTTTATTGTTAATCTGATTAATATCTCGTCCTTTTAATCATGTTAATTAAATAGATTGAAAAAAGTTTAAAAGATCCATCATCATGATTATCGCTGACTAACTTTGATAAAGCTATTGATAACTTTGTTATTTATATCCATTTGATTATACATTTTTGTAAAGTAGATCATTTTAAATCGATGAAAAAAGTAAGTATCAACTCGAGAGCGTTTCATAGAACTTGTATTTTATCATAAAACTCATTATATCTTAATGTAAAACAAAGAGAAGAATTTTTATTTTCATTATGTTGAAAGATGAATTAATAAAAAATGAGTTAGATAGGTCGTTGAGAAAGAACATTGTTTTTTTTGATCAATTATTTATTGTATAATGATTTTCAAACTTTCAAAGAACTGAGAATAACTCAAAATTGTGCTACAATAGATGATACTTTCATAATGAACAACTATTACAAAAAAAAACGATTGATTTTAGTGAATTATTATGAATAAATTAAATATTTTAGTTTTGAAAGCGATGACAGATTTCATCAATCATCCAACAATTCTGTTTTACTTTATCGAACAAAACACAGTCTAAACCATTTGGTTACTCACTTAAATTGTTAGACTCATCATCTTCTTGATAGCTTAGAAACTTTAATGTTTATTTTAACAATAAATAACATGTTGTCAGAATTATTTAGATTTTAATATAATATTAATATTTATTACTTCAATTCACATCTTTGTTTCAACTGTAAAGGACAAAAACTTGTCAATCAACAAAATATTTTTTAAAATTATAAACAGAATAATATATTGTTCTTATCTATTTTATTCTTTACGTGTCAAAAATACGTTAACTAATGTTTAGGACAGAAAAATTTTCATATTTTATTCATATAGAGTCTAATAACTACACTTCAGATGCATTTCAAACAACCACTTTGTCTAAGTGTCTTTATTGTTTGACACGTATCCACAAAGTGCTATGTGTAAACTTCAGTGCCATTTGCGATGGAATGGCCCTGAACAAGTCACTAACAGCTATTCGTCTCAAATCACTCATCCAATAATATGCTTACTGCATCGTGATATATATATCTGCCCTTGCGCTAAATTAGATAATATAGGGCAGTGCAAAAACTAAATGTTAAGCTGACCTTCTGTTTACAACTACAGCAAATCGCATGTTGTAGAAACGAAACCTAAATCTTGAATTTGTCACTAAGCAGTATTACATACTACAACGTAGCTGAAAGATAGAAGTGTTTTTCTACTTCTTGCACATCAATCATTAGTACCAATTTGTCACTTATGAAACATGGGAAATAATTAATGAGTATATTATCTACGTGATAAATACAATAGACTTGCTCGAACTTTTCTTTTCATAATCTATTGATCAAATGAATCTTTTTTCCGATAAATTTAAAATAAACCAAAAAAAAACCAAACGAGAGTAAAGGAAAAAAAATTATTTTCTTTTTTCTTTTGCCGGAAAAAAAACATAAGAAGAAATACAGACAATAACACATAAATCTTATATGCATATGACAGATTAACAACAACACCGAGAACAACAGCACAAAATCAGTCAG